CATTTATATGTATAATATGATTGCTAGATACGATTTCATGCGACAAAATGTTGGAATCTTAATTTTTAGGCCCTAGCAGAACATACCTGCGCGCTTAGCGCATAAGCCATGAAATCAAAACAAAGCCAACAAATTCCGACCACAATGACTAATAAACACTAATTTTATTTACCACTAGCTGGTACCCGGCGCGTTGCTGCCGCAAAAAACTAATTATGGATATATTGTTTTTAATTTGGAAGTTATATAGTTTAATTACGAATGATAATACATTTATTGAAATTGACTGATATGTATATTATAACTTTGAAATAAATTTATCGGTACGCAACGCGCGCCACCTACTATAAGTTAATTTTACTAACTATTATTTATTCTATGATTATACTATGCTGACCTATACTGACCTCTATATATACAAGTACGCTGGACTGCTATAATACCCTACACAATGTTTCAGCCGATTTGAAGCGCCGCCATTGTTCGTACCGGGAATTAAAATTGACTTAATATGCCAAAGTCGTATTGTGTTGTTTAAATCGTATCTCTGTATTTTAAACTTTTAAACGATAAAATGAAAGTATTTTGTGTAGTTTGAGTATTTTTGATTTTAGTTATATAATAAGAGTTATTTTTATTAATAATGAGTGTGCATAATTTATAAAACTCCTTAGGATAACATTTCCCAAGTAAGTGAATTTATAGCTATTATTAAAAAAAAAAAACTATTTGTTAATATAGGTGGCTTAAAATTTGTTAGCAATCTTAATATCGTAATTACCAACATGTTTGGCTTTATATTACTGAGTTTTGATAAACAAAAAAATTCAATAGGGTTCTCGAGTTCGTCTATAATACTTCTCGATGTTCTTTTCTCCACATATCTGTTAACAACCCAAGTCGCCTAGAACAGTAATTATCAAATGTTACTGTTGTTATCGATTCACAAACCCTAGAATAACAATACCCAGTATTGGCTACTCCAAGTTTGTGTTGGAAAAACGAAAACGAAGTTATCTGTGAGTAAGACCAAAGAGTAAAATTATTGGAGGGTTAGTTACTCTGGTGCAACATGGTATATGGTCGAATCCAGCCTTAACAACATATTTCTGTTGCACGGTTAAATAACCGTGTAATAATAATATGGTATTCTTTAACGTTATGTTGTCCTGTTACGTTTCTTTGAACGATACTACTTGCGAAGACACTTTGGCAGCCACATATCTCAATGGTACCTCGTTTAAAGCAGGGAAGGCATCAGAGGCAACTGAACTATATACATAGCCTAAATATGAGTTGCTGAGAGATGAGTAGGTACATATTTGTTGTGCCATTTGCTGTAGAGACTATCGGTCTGTGGAGTTCACACGCGGTGAAGTTTCAAAAAAAAAATTATCCGCGACTAATCGTCGCTGCAGGTGATAAGAGGGCTTCTTATTTTCTCGCTCAAAGGCTAAGTAATTGCAGTTTTTAGTTTTTGTGTGGGTGTGCGTGTGCGGTCGCGTGTGCACACCAAACTTAGATTTTCTATACCATTTGAACTAATTCACCCCGGTAGATTGTGAGAAATCTCAAAAATTAAATTAAAAAAAAGTTTTTTTGAAATACGTTTTAAACAGGTGTAACGATCAATTCCAAAATCTACTAAGCTCTTAAACTCAAGTATCACCGTCGGTTGCTGTAAACCGTATCAAAATTGGTTGGTGCAAGAAGGAAAACTTTCTAAAAACTAATTTTTTCACATAACTTTGAAATGTCTTCTCGGATCGTTTTTGTATGTAATAAATTACGTTTTTGAGCTCTAATATCGTTTTACATTTATAGGAGTTATATTGTTTTATTTAGGAATGATAATACTATCATTGAAATTGAATGATCTATAACTTTCAAATAAATTGTCATTACGATACGCGCCCCACCAAGTGTACGTACGTACGTATTCATATAACCTTCGCGCAAGTGCAAGCGATACGTTGACTAAGTTTAATCGCATTCTGAGAAATGGTATGGCAGTGCATAAAATACGAACAAATGTTAATTTTTATATATTAGATTTTTTTTAAACGAGTTTGAAACGTTTTGAGTGACCTAATTTCTGTTTATGTAACATTATGTCTCGCATTATATTCAACATTTCGCTTAATCTTTTATTAAAACTGATCTGCGGTTTGCTTGAAATTAATGAGGTGATTAATACCAGACCTGAGATAATGACCAAGAGATATCATACTGATGATGATAACGTTATGTACGTACTCATAATCAACAATAGCATTTTTTTATATTATTCTAAGCCAGCGCTACACTACAATCCCACCTGATGGTAAGTGGTGATGTAGCCTAAGATGGTGAAGCGCACTAACTTAACAAAAGCCTAAAGTTACCTAACCTACCTTGCCTTGAAGACACCCACATTGTAATCGGATGGAAACAGATGCTGGCAACTTATTCCACTCCTTTGCTGTACGCATGATGAACAATGTCGTTATTAGGAAAATGCTGCTGCTTAACTCCTAGTTTTTTTTTTCTCTCTGTCGCCTCTTCCGACACCCTTGCGCGATAAGGGAAAATTAATATTCTAACACCGCCCCAACACGGTCAATATACATATTATTGTTAGCAAACATGGAATAAAACTAACGTTACGGATTTTATCGTATTTAATTTAACTTGTTTTTTTAATTCCCGACGTTTCGGACACTTTACAGCACGCATGGTCCATCCCGTGACTTTTAAAATTGCTGTAAAATACCGTAGGTACATAAAAATCCATAAAGTTACTTTTAATCCACGTGTAGTAAACGCGTAAATATAAGAAATCATTATGTTAGCAAACAGTTCAGCAAAATGCTGCTCAAGGCTTTTGGGATGTCGTTACTCCCACGGTAAGATTTACTTCTGTATCGTTGAGGTGAGTCGTGAATGTGAAAATTGCAATAGGACAAAGACCCACAAGAATCATTTGTTGGCCATACAAACACTTGTTCTTCTTGTCAATTGTGGGTGGGTAATCCCGATAGGTTTGTAGGTTCAAAATACTAGGGGAGGTATATCTTTGCCCCGTATGTACGTATGTTGACCTATTTCTTGGAAACGGCTCAACCGATTGAAATCATTCTTTTTTTAATAATCCCGTTCTTATCGCTAAGGGCGATCTCTTCCAGACAACCTTTCGATGAACAGCATTGCAAGAAAAGCAATAAAAACGTGGGGTTGCTGACAAAATAACATTATTTTTATTAAAGCCATAAAATAAAAATATATAATGGCATATAAGTAACTACATAGATAAGATAAATACATATATACTTATTAATATACAATTATACACTTTACAAATATATACTTTAAAACTATTACATATAACATAAAAGTGCCATACATATAAACAAATATTGTAACTAAATAAAGGAGAATAATTATATACAAATGAACTAGATAGAATCAAAGTTGAGAAAAGTAATCATGTACATGTTTCTTAAAAACCGGTAGGGATTGAGCGAGTCTTTATATACTTCAAGAATATAAAGAATACACGTGAAAAACACAACACAAGTTGCTGCTTTCAGCTTTGTGGCTTTCCTTGGGGGAGGCCTATGTTCAGAAGTGTGCTTGTGAAGGACTGTAATAGATGTTGATGATGAAAATGGTAAAAAAATTAACTTATATAATAAAAATTAAAAACCGACTTAAAAATCTGAAAAGAATAAAATAGTTTCACTTCTAAAGTCTCTAATACTTTAATACACTTTCTTTAAGATCCGACTTCAGAAACGAATAAGTGGATTTTTTTTTAAAATCGGTTTTTACTAAAGCGAATGAAGAATTTAGTTGGAAATATCATTATTCTACCGATCCTCAAAAGCTACGACTATATAATTTTACAAGCTATTGATGTTGTTTATCTAAAATAATATACCAATAAAATGTCATTTGGTGTTATCAAGAGTTTTCCAGTTCCATAAAGCAAAAAAAAAATGCTGGATTGTATGTGGCGAAGCGTGTACATTCATCTATAATTATCTACCTGGGTATTCTTATACGGAAGATTGAACTTGACTTGGGTTATGTAAATTTAACTCAATTAATATATGCTAAAATTTTCATCTACGAAATGTTCAGATACGGATGAGGAAATAAGCAAAGAGAATAAACATGATTCGTAAACAGTTTACTAGTCTAAACAAGAAATGTGTTTGCACCTGCTAAAGCTATATAGCAGGTAAATAGACATGTTTTATTAGCATCAATACACATTTCACACACAAAAAATACATTTAGAAGTAAATAAGACATAAGTATTGTATATTATATTAAAATTAAATATACACATACGCACACATACGTATACGTATATGTATATTAATTTAGCTTTAAAACCGTTTACAGATTTAGTTTCCCGTATAGGTGGTGGTAAATTGTTCCAACATTTAGTGGCCATGTATCTAAAACTTCCACGAAATGCGGCTGTTCGATGATGTGGGGTTGCCAGTATTGGGGTAACCGTTCTGATGCTTCAACCATCATCTGCTTTTCTCCATTTTAATTTCTGAAAGAGTATTCCGGTCTTTCTGATTTTATGCATCCGAAAAGAAGCGTAGCTAAATGTAAATCTCGCCTCAATGACATCCTTAATATGGCCGACTTATTAGCCGGATCCACACCGGACGATCCAAAGCGCTCCGATCGCGCGCGGCATGGAGCGCGCTCCACGGAGCGTAAAGTGTAGACGTGCCGCGCGCGATCCATGTACGCGGCGGAGAGCGCGCGCTCCTCGCCGCGTGCGATCCATTTGTTGTCGGTTTTTTGGTCATGCACAAAGGGGCCTTATCGCGGTCTGGACGGTTGTGAGAATCGCGTGATCCGCCGTTATGGATAATTCGCAATGTATCCGTTTAATTTCCCTGTATAGGGAGAATAAATGTTTATGGGATCCTAATGATACCAATTACACAAATAAAGGTGTAAGAGAAGATGCCTGGCAGAAAATTAGTCGGCAAATGAACAATATTCCAACAACAGAACTAAAGAAAAAAATTAAGTCTTTGTCGGGTGGCTACAGAAGAGAACGATTCAGAGAAAAACAGAGTCGTATTACCGGATCAGGTAAGAAATTATAGTTCCTTTTGTTTTATAATTATAGTTCAGTACATAACCTGCCACTCTTAGTGAAGTTTTAATTTTAATTTATTAGTAATAATAATAAAATGTATTGTTTAAAACTCCACAACGTAGTAACGTAACTTAGTTTGTGATAAAAAGGTATACTTAAATGTTTAAAAGTTTTGCGTAGGGGAGTGATTTCACGGACATTGCTATTTGCTGGTTATATTAATTTATTGTTTATTTCAGGTGCTGAAGATACTTACAAATCAAAATGGTTTGCTTACGATGAGTTTGCTTTCATGGCGGATAAGAATGACCCCGGGACAGCAAGGGATACACCACAACAGGTGAGTTATTTTTGAAGTTATACTTCTTTTGGCGCGATGGAGAAAAATGATGAGAGTGAATTTTTACGATGCGCGCGCACCTACTAATGCAAAAAGAACTATACTTGGAAACAATTTATAGTTATCATAGACGTTGCTACTATTAAAAGGCGCTTGCAAAACGACATGTTTACCATCCATTGCTCCTAATACATGTGGAAAATTAAATTTTTCGTCGAATTCCTGAGACACTACGAGCCACTCTTCTTCATTTGATGGCATCTGAAAAAAGTGTACTATGATTAATATGTTTTGTTATTGCTGTTGTTACAGGAAGAAAGTAATAGCACCACTGGTAGCGGAGAACATGCTATCAATGAAAATGCTCTAGAAAACGTAGACAATCACACAACTGAGAATGTTAGTAATCAAATGCAAGATATGAATGAATGATCAGAGTATACCAACTGAACCTTCTGTACCATCTGAACAACCTGCTGCCCAATCTAATGTGCAAAACACCCAACACAATGTTCAAACCCAAAAAAGGAATCAAAATAAAAGAAGAAAAAAACATCTTCACATGGTTCCGAAGATATTATGATAACAGATGAATCCATTTCGGAAGCATTTCAACTACTTCATCAATGTGCTCAACCACAACAACCAGAGACAGATTCATACACCGCTTTTGGACAATACATAGCTACCGAACTAAGAAAATATGATCATATAACGTTAATTTATGTAAAACATCCCATATCTCAAATTATTTTTGAAGCTGACACAGGCAGATACAGACCAGAAAATTATGGATATTACTCTCCAACTTCATCATATACAGAACGACCTTCAGAATCAACAACAACTCAGCTTCCATCAACTTCATTGCATACAGAACGACCTTCAGAATCAACAACTCAGCTTCCATCAACTTCATTGCATACAGAACGACCTTCAGAATCAACAATGACTCCACTTCCATCAACATATTCTACTACTTCGACAACTTGGCAGCCTACTCCGTCACCACAATCACCACCAATTTAATTAACATATGTAACTTTTATATATTCTTAACTATAAGCTAAGTTTGAAATAAAGAGTTTAATCTTTTAAATATATAATTTCACTTACTTTTACATAATCCTTCAAAATGTCGATGATTGCTTCACAAACCTCAGGAACAATTTTTGATATTGACTGTTTAGACACTCTGAAAAGATACTGTAGACTGACGTAAGAATCTCCACTTGCTAAAAATCTCAATGTTATTAGTAGTCTTTCCTTAACAGTTATGGCATCACGACAGTTTGTATCAATCTTTCTTATTTTGTTCTCCAATAGTGAACACAATAAGTCAAATTGATTTGCAGTCATTCGAGCAAAATTAGCTTCAGCTCCATCATCAAAACTCTTTGTAAAGTCGAGTCCCATATTCCAACCGGTTTTTAAAAATTGTTTTAACCCAATACTGTCGTTTTCGTTTTCGTAATGTTTGCCGTAAATATACAAGTAAAATGTAGCTTGCTGCTGCTACGGCTATTCGTCGCCGTTGTTGCACGTGTGACTCCATAGTCAGACAAAATTCAACTGATTCAGTATGGATCGGCAGGAGCGCGTTGGAGCAGCCAGTCAGGATTCACAAAAGATTGCTGTTGGATCGACCTAGAACGATCCACGCTCCACGCATCACGATCTTGGATCGCGGATCGCGGGAACGCCGATTCATTTTGGATCGTCCGGTGTAGATCCGGCTATTAAGATACGAATGTACATGATGATATCGAGGTATATGAAAGACGTACCTTGTACATGCGGGCAAGGCTTTATTTAGGGGCAAGGCAAATACGATAGAAACTCTTTACTCTCTTGATAAACACTGGCAAGTTATAGATAATCGTAAAGGCCATAGAATACCTACTCTAATGTGTATGTATTATAGTATCCTATGGTAAAGGACGATAAATTTTAAAATATACCTAACACTTATTATGTAATTTTTTTTGTTGGAAAATGCTTTTTTAATATCTTAGAGAATTTGCTCGCATTAATGGACCTCAGTCGACGTCATTTTTTTAACTCTATGATTTACTATTAATATAAAAAAGATTTAGAGCTCCAAGAATATTTTAAACATTTGACTACTACTTGAGGTGCTAGCTTTTTTTAGAAGAGGGAACAAATGAACATACGGCTCACCTGATGGTAAGTGACTACCGCCGCCCATATTCAACTGCAACACCAGGGGAATTGCAGGTGCATTGCCGGCCTTTTAAAAAGGAGAAAGGTCTTTTCTTGAATGTCTCTAAGTCGTATCGGTCCGGAAAAATCACCGGTGGTAAATTATTCCACAGAGAGGTCGTACGCGGAAGTAAACTCCTAGTGAAACGTTCAGTGATGAACCGCCAAGAGTCCAGATGGTGTGGATGGTATCGGATGTTTTACCGTTCGTGAAATTTGGCGGCTGGGATTAATCCGAACAATTCCTCAGAGAACGAGTTTTGTTGGCTTGTTTACAAGTAACAGTTAAAAGAGAATGGGAAGACATTTTTCCGCATTACCTTACCGATGAAAAAAAAACAAAAAAGTACTATTGGACGGATTGGTGCCAATTCAAGATGGAGAAGTTCGACACCGGCGAGAAAAAAATCGACCTGTCACAGTCGACCTGATCTTAAGTGGATGCTGTGGCCCATAGACATGTATCCTTGATAAAGAATCAAAATAAAGAAACGTTATCACCCCTGAGTATTGAGATAGAATGCCTCGTTTCCAGTAAAAAGGGTCTCCGGTTCTCTACACTCACCGTACGAAACACATTAGCATTGAGCTGCTATTTTACGCAGGTATTCTGCGAGGGCCTTACCCCGTTGAGGCGAACCATTCGTGCAACACATAATATAGCTGCAGTATGGTTCTACCATGTAAAATTGATTCCGAAACAAAGACAGTTGATTATATGTTGCTTTGGAGACGAGACAATTACGAAATATCGCCGTATGCTAACTAAGCACACAAGCCAATAGTAGCCTCGTTATTATGCAAAAAACGTAACAATATGACCCATATTGCTACTGTGGTTTCGGAGGATCAAAAACGGTTAACTCTGAGTTGTATGTGACACTTAGTACCCTAGAAGTATTATACTTGGTGTGATGAGCGACCAAAATCAGGGATCCGACAACGTCATCGATACCCAGACATCATTTGATTTTACCTGTTTCAAAAAAAGGAAGAAGGTTTAAAGGCAAATAAGAAGTGGCTGGTTAAAATTTTAAGATTTTCTTAGGTTAGATATCTCGAAGATGAAGAAGAAGAAGAGTCAGAAGTATTTCCAAAGTGGTTTAGACATATGGAAAAATGTAAATATCTTCTCTGCTTACACTGGAGGTAGACTGGTAAAGAATGCCTTATTGCATTAAGTCCGCCTTTTTGTACTTGGTGTACAAATAAAGACCGAATAAATTAATTTACAAAGCTCAAAGTGAATAATTTGAAGAAATGGTTATTTTTTTCTTGTCTTTAAAAAAAGCCTTAACATACACAAATTGCACAAGAACAAACATCTAGACCCGGAACAATTATTTGTAGGCAACAATAACAATTATTTTTAACAGTGGTAGAGCCACGCGGCAGCTTTTGCTGTCGCATGGATGGGCCGGCTCGAACCGGTTTACCTCTGCGTTGCGCTTGGTGAGTGCAGGTGACCGGAGGCCCAATTCCACCCCCCCCCCCCACCCCCATGTACATGGTAGCGGAAAGACTACCACAGGAAGTTACCGGCACCCCTGGAGAATCCCTCGCTGAGCATCAACGACCAAACTACTCCACTCTTGAGCGTGGGTGCTCAGGCTGCCCCGCGTATTCTGGGTGGGGGGGGGGGGGCAAATAAGACCAAGACGACCCCTATCCGTGAATTTTTGCAACATCAGGGGACTTCATTCCAACCTTAACGCTGTCCATTACCATCTAGAGACGGCGAAGCGGGCCTTGCTCTTTTCAACCGAGACTCAGGTGTCCTCTCCGGCTGATACTTCATATCTCTCCTACCCGAGATACAAATTAGAACACTCCTTTGTGCCCCGGGCTGGAGTTTGCGTATACATCGGAGAGGACATCTGTTATCGACGCCTCGGCAGTCTTGAAGGTACGGACCTGTCCATCCTATGGCTGCGCGTAGACAGCGACGACCATCCCCGCGTCTACGGGTGCCTCTGTAGGTCCCATAACGGTAATGCCGAAACAGACCGACTCATCGACCACGTCCAAATGGCTGCAGACTCCGTGCTACAACAGGTCCCATCCGCAGTGATCGTGAAACTCGGTGATTTTAACGCCCACCACGCTGAATGGCTTTGTTGCCGTTTAACCGATCATGCGGGTAGATCTGTCTATGACTTTGCCTTGGCATATGGTCTAACACAACTGGTTACTTCCCCTACGCGGGTCCCAGATGTGGAGGATCATGTACCTTCCCTGTTGGACCTTCTGCAGACCTCTCATCCGGACGGATATCAGGTCTCCATCGATGCCTCTCTGGGCTCTTCGGACCATTGTCTAATCCGGAGTAGGGTGCCACTCACGCTCCCATTGCAGTTGCGATCTTGCCACCGTGTTTGGCACTATAGGTCGGCTGATTGGGACGGGATGCGGTCTTTTCTTGCATCCTACCCTTGGAGGCGGATTTGCTTCTCACCGGAGGATCCCAGCGTTGTTGCCGATTCTGTAGCTGATGTGGTACTTCAGGGCATGGAACTTTTTATTCCATCCTCTGTGGTGCCCATCGGGGGCAGATCCCAGCCATGGTTTGGTCGCTCCTGTAAAATAGCATCACGCTATAAGCAGGAGTGCTACCGGGCCTGGGCTGACGCATCAACGTCTCGGGATGTAAACACCAGCGCTCTTAAAAAGAAGTATAATTCCGCCTCCAGATCCTTCTAAAGTGTCATTGTCACGGCAAGGTCTGAGCATATCGGCAGAATTGGTGAGAAGCTAGTTCGCCTTCCTTCGGGAACCCGTGCATTCTTATCTTTCGCCAAGGCTGTCCAAGGGAACTTCTGTCAGCCATCTCTTCCATCTTTGCACAGAGAGGACGACTCACTGACTCATGGCGCAAAGGACAAAAGCCGATCTATTTAAGCTCTTTCTTTGCGTCCAACTCGACTCTAGATGACGGAGGGAACACACCGCTGACCATCCCGCGGTGTGAGTGCTCCATGCCAGATGTGCGATTTACACAGCGCTCGGTTCGTAAAGCACTGTTCTCCCTGGACATCAGCAAGTCGAGTGGGCCTGATGGAGTCCCTCCCATTGTGCTGAGTTCTTTCTGATCGGCTCGATACACAGGCACTGCGTAGGGATGTTGCATCCCTTTGCATTTTCTATCGAATTTACCACGGGGAGTGCTCTGAGGAATTGTTCGGATTAATTCCAGGTGCCAAATTTCACGA